ATTAATTATTATTATTAATGTATTTAACCAGTCTGACCTCAAAGAGCAGTGCATGCATAGATGTTGTCAAGCAGTGGTGTGTTTCTTTGTGGCTAATATGACATGTACAACCTGTTTGTTTACATGAAATTCAAACAAGTGCTCCCCGATAACCATCATCCATGCTTCCCGAAGTTTATTCTCACTGTTGTATTTGCATCATGATCTGTTTGTTGGTGGTGGTGTTTGTTTGAAGTCAGTGAGACCCAAAAATGTTAAGGATCATGATAACCTCTATGTTGTATGTACATGTGTGTGTGCGTAGAATACATATTTCGTTAAATGTTAATCAACTTTGAGTGGGATCACTTCCTGTGCATTGAAATTGTCTTAATCTTATCACTGATCTTACACGTATGGCCACTCAAGGGTCTCGATATCTCTCAAATCAGTATGCAGAAAGTACAATCATCAGTTATGCTAATATTTTTATATCATATCCAGCAATAATTATGTTAAAAGTCTTGTACATATACATTGTACTTGATCGCTACCTTTGTTTTGTTTCTTAGGTCCTCTTCACAATAGTCTGGAAAAATTGAATTCACTTGTATCATCACAAAGAAATGTTTACATTCGCATGAAGCATAAATTCAACTTAGGTTATCATTGATTTAAAGATTTCCATACATGACTAATATTTGATGAAAATATGTCACTATGAAACTAAGAACATCACTCATTATTAATACACACACATTCCACATTTTCAAGAGTTATATCTCAAGCATAAACACTTTGAGATCTCAATCTGTCTGAAATTGTAATCAATATCTGCAAAAATATATCAATATCATTTTTTTATTCTATGCATCTAGATCTAAAATCAACTTCAAACTTGAACAAAATTTCTGAAAATGTGAAAACATTTTGGTGGGAAATTTGATTGAAAAGGTTAAGTAGGTGTCAAATAGATCGGAAATGTACACATAGTGTACAAATATTCACGTTGGTACAAAGCACATGTTTGTCACAGCAAATTAATGTTTGATTCAATTGAAAATCAAGTAAGAATCTTCAAATTATCGTCATGCAAATATATTCACTGCATAACTCATTGGGAATGCAAATATATTCACTGCTGAAATCATTATGCATACAAATATTTTCACTGTATCACTCATTGGGCATGCAAATATATTCATGACATCACTCATTAGGCATGCAAATATATTCATGACATCACTCAATAGGCATGCAAATATATTCATAACATCACTCATTAGGCATGCAAATATATTCATGACATCACTCA